TGCAACAGCCATAAATCAATGAAGACGCGCAAGTAAGGGAGGGAACAAAGGACATGGAGAGATGCCACGGCATCTGGCAGGGGACTGTCACCGCCGCACCAGAGGATGGCGTCTGAGGAAAGCCTCTGACCAAGCCCACGAGGGTCCCGGGCTCTTCACTGCCTCCCCCTGCAGCCCAGCCCTCCAGAGAGGCCCACAGGCAGGTGCCGCACGGGGCAGCAAGGGGCATGTGGGGACAGGGGATGTGGCAGATCATGACGTCCCGCCTCGCCCACAGTCCTGCCAGCGCTCCCGAGGCACCTCTGCAGCACGCTGTGCTGACCCAACATTGATTTTTCCACCAGGCCCCAGCAAGCTCTGGTGTGTTTGCTCCGAGTCCTCGGCCCTGAGACAGAACGCAGCCTGCTTCCACGGGCAGGAGGAAACAAGCTACAATCAGGGCTGGATAAAACTGTTCCTCAAGCTTAATCCAAGGGTAAACCCCACCAAGCCGCAGAGCAGAGCCTTGGGTTGACCCCCTTGGGTTGCCCCTGCTCAGGCTGCCAGCAAGCAAAAGGACAGGGACTGGAGGTGGGTCCTGCAGGGCAGCTCCTTTCTTAATCTGCCGTGCTGGGTGCTGAGATCATCGGTGCTCGGTCCAGAAGCACTGTGCCCGCTGTCGCTAACAGAAGGGCTGTGAAGGCACTGACCTGACGATAACCAGTTATTTGTCTCATTGGTAATGAGTTATTACTCAGCCTCAGCTAGACACTGCCTTAAGGGAGGAAACATCTGATCATCTTTTAATAAACACAGTTGGCTCCTGTGAGGCTCCTGCATCTCCTGTATCTATAAAGCGCTCCGAGACGCATGGCTTATGCACAGACAGTGCTGCTATGAGTCACAGTCTGGAAAACGGTGTCAGAATCGCTGCTCAATAAATAGAACAAAGCAGGGAAACCTCAGGTGGGCAGAGATGTCACAACCCTGCTTCCTTCACCGCGCAGCACCAGCCTCCTAAGGATTTACCCGCTGGAGACAGAAAGCAAGATAAAAACAATTCCTATGTTTTCTCTCTTCATCCCAAACCTCCCACAAAAGCACTGTGAGAAGGAAAATGTCTGTTGGGTGCCAGGTTCACCAGTGATAGGCTCTGCTTCCACGTGCTTGGGGATGATTAACGCTGGGATGGCAGTGCTGCGGGCAGAGGAATGAGTTCCAGGTAACGCCCAGCAGTTGCACACGTGGAGCACAGCTACCAAAAACCAGCCCATCTGCTCTTCAGCGCTGCAAAGCTTTGCTTTTGTAAGGCCGCATCTGGAAGAAATACTCGACATGGGGAAATTAATAACTTGGCTTGGACAAGAGGAAATAATGTGACAACTCTCCAACCATGAACCGCAGAGTTACCTGCAGCGAAGGCACCCGCACATCTGCAGATGCGGTCCTGCACCCCGACCTCCGCTCCCAAGCAGCACTTCGGCCTCCCCTGCAACCAGACGTTTTCCAAATGCTCGTAAGGCAGGACAGTAACCCATACTGAGTTAACATTTAAATAGCATTTTTGCCCAGAAACATCTGGAAGCAGTTTCTTTCTCCAGATGTTTTCCCCAAATACCTACCTTCCACTCAGTGCCCCAGATCCAGATGTTTCCAAATCGTGTCCCTGTTGAAATGTCCCGGGGACGCCATCAGCCTCTCCAGCACAGAAGCAGTTAACGCTCCAAGTCATCGCGCAGGACACCTGCGCCTGGTGGAAACTGGAGACCAAGTGGAGCCCAGCAATGGAAAAATCCAAAGCCAAAAGCTGTGTCAGACAGCTGCTGGGAGCAGGGCAGCAGAGACAAACCTCACCCTGCTCTCAGCCGTGTAGAGGGAAGCGCTGCTCAGTTTCAAGCAGTTTGTATCTTCCAGAGCCCCAGTGCTACGCAAAAGACGGTTTAGGGGGAAGGCTGAGGACGTGCAGCACCAGCGCACAGCGTTGTGGGGGTTACAGGAAGGTGAGCAGAGCTCAATTTTGCTGCTGGTTTGCTAAAGGTGTGTGAGCTAGAGCTTCCTTCCCCTAGCCCAAAGCAGGACTCCCGCTGCAGTGACACAGCCAAGGAAGCACCAAACCCACTTTCCACTTGCCTGTGTCAGCCCCAGGGCACACTGTTCCTCCAGCCAGGGACTGATTTACAGAAGCACCACAGTCACCGGCTCCACCAGCTGCTTTCCCACAGGCAGAACTCAGGCTGGAGCAGTTGTTCACCTCGGGCTTGCGTTCACCACCTCCCACGCTGCAGCTCGCACTCAGGTGCGTTTCTCTGCCACTTGCTTTGATTACAGGCCCTGTGCACCATGGGCACCTGACCAGCCCAGCCCCACGAGGCTGGGAATGTTTTTGTGGAGCTGCAGAGTTAACCCGAGCCCCAGCACAGCCTGGCTGGAGCTCAGCCACTGCAGCTACGCTTTCAGTGAAAGGCTGCTGGGATCACCAAGGGAGAAGCATCACTCCCAGCTTCCCCTCAAAGCAGAAACCTCCCCTGCTTTTCACCACCACCACATGCAGGTGACAGTAGACACCCTGTGTGTAACAGCCACATCACGGCTTTCTTTGGGGGTTGGGGGTGCGCTCCTTTTAAACCTGGCCGGA